CACCCCTCCCCACCCCCAGCATCCTGTGTCCAAAGCAGACATGGCTAATTTATCAGGCACTCTTGCACCAAACCTTTCTCGATACAATTCCTGAAAGATGCTACTAACAGATCAGGGTTAGCACACAAAATATAAGAACTGATCACTCCTGGTCTGGGAAGGGTGTTTAAGGATCTGTGGAATGAGGGGAAGGAGCTGAGGAAACAGAAAAAGAACTAGGAAATGGGTGTGTCTGTGGGCCCAGAACAAGGGAACACAGTTGGGGACAGGAAGAATTAAAAAAACAATGACGTGGGGGGTCAGGATCTTTTGGGGATCCAGACCGGAAAGGGGACATGGTTCTGGCTTAAAAGCTGAACCCTAGTCCCCTTGGTGCTCACCGTGCAGGGGGTGCTGCTGTCAGGAGAGAAGGTAAGGGTGAGTGGGGGACAGAGGGTCCCAGGAGCACAGGGCTGTAGCACCTCAGTGGCCGAGACAACCCACACACAATAGGACAGGCCAGGCCCAGTTCTTGCTGCCCCACCACCTGGAGGCAGCAACCCCCCAAATCGGCGGGATCCAAGAGCCACTGAGGACACATTGGTGAGGAGGGCACGACCCCCGCACTCCCGGAAGCAGGAGCCACTAGCCCTGTAGATACAGGAAAGCCAGAGTCAGACCAGTACTGTCTTAGCCCACACGATCCCTCAGCCCACTCTGTTCAGCCCTACGGGCCCCTGGCTCACCGGGGATCCCCATAGTAGCCTGGGGAACAGATCTGACAGTGGGCACCCTCAGTGTGGTCCTGGCAGAAGCAGAGCCCACTGAGGTTGTCACAGTGGCCACGGCGAGGGTCTCCATGCCCGTTGCACTGGCAGGGCCGGCAGCCACCTGAGCCCGTTGCATTTCCAAAGCTGCCAGGCCGGCACCGTTCACAGTGTTCCCCCCAAGTCCAATCTGTGGCGAGGCATGAAGTCAGAGGCAAGGGAAGGAAGAGGTCTAGACCACCTGACTCAGCTAATCCCTGACCTTCTCCCCAGATGCTTCGAAGAGCCAAACAAGGCCTGGGTCAGCAGAGAAATAGCAAGTCCCAAGAGAGGGGAGTTAGGCCAAACCAGAGGGATAGGGCAGGAGCAGGGCCTGGGTGGGGGACTCAGCACCACCTGAGGGGAGACTCAGAGAGAAGCTGCAGCTCTGAGAAGAAAGGAGGTCCCACGGGCTGGGCGTGGGGCTCAGGACACCGCTGCTCACCCTGGCACTCATCACAGAAGCCAGGCCCCCGCCTGCGGCAGTGGCTGTGGAAGTTGCAGCCACAGTCTCGAGAGCAACGGGGAGCAGGGGGTCCAGGGGCAGGTGTGGGCGGGGGCAGGTCAGATGTCCAGCCCAGGTCACACACACACGTGAAGTCTGGGGGGCCACTGCACACACCGTGGCCACAGTCCTCCAGGCACCTGAGGGATCATACAGGGATGGAGAAAAGGCTGGGTGGGCCCAGAGTCCCCAAAGCACCCCATCATCTCCACCCACTGCAACACCCTCACAAGCGTCTGCCTTCTTCCATTCTCTGTACTATGTGGGTAAACCTGTTTCCAAGGCAACTCATCACACGTGGGGATGGCTGTATCCATAGAAACCATATATCACCACTGTGAAAACTCCCTTTCAACTGAGCCCTCTTCCAACTCCATGGCAATTCTGAAGATGATAGCCCACTATCTATGAGTGTCCTGTTTCCATAGTAACCAGGGTTACTTTGGGGGAATCTTGCTAATCTGTTGAGATCTTTGTCTACAGAGTGAAAACTCCAGGCTAACTGGGAATGCTGGTTCCACAGAGAGCCCAGCATCATGCATGATGGCTTCCTCTCCCTCCATCTTGAGTTCCAGCCCTGGGACGACATTTCCATGGCAACCCAACATCTCACTCACGTGCGGTTGCAGTGTGTGATGCCATCGCCCTGGTAGCCTCGCTGGCAGTGACACTCATAGCTGAGAGGTGTGTTTAGACAGGTTGCTCTTGGGTGACACCGTGCCAAGCCCAGGCGACATTCATCCACGTCTGGACAGCGGGCATAAGCCCAGCGGGCAGGGAGGGCCACAGGCAGCCCCAGGCCCTCTCCCACCCACAGGGAACAGTTGCCCCCACCCAGGGGCCCTGAGAAGTCCCCCTGTAGACACCTGTGGATTGGGAGATCAAGAGGAACACATAGAAACAGGAGACAGCCAGGGAAACAGTGACAGAGATGGGGACAGACAGACCAGAAAGGAAAGAAGGAAGAAAACCATGACGGGAAAGAGTGGGAGAAAAAAGAGGGGAAAGGGGAAAAAAGCAGAAATGGAGGGCAGTCGGGAAACAGGGTGGTCACAGGACGTGGGACAGGGCAACAGGGCAGAGAAACAGAGGCCATTAGAATCACCAAGCGGGGAGAGCCAGGCACCCACCCTACCAGTCAGGCTCCTCACCGTCCCAGTGTGGGGTTGTCTTCATTGCCACACCAACCGCACTCGTGGCTCTGCAGACACTCATGACAAGTCAGGAAGCCACCACAGCTCCGGCACCGTGGCTCTGAGTGCACACTGCAGGGTGATAAGTGGGAGGAGTCAGAGCCCAGGACCCTCCCCCACTGGCAGCTCCACTCCATCAGCCCCCAATCTGGGGAGCGCACCTGTCGTCCCAGCCACGGCAGCCTCCGTGTGGGTACCGGGCCAGGTAGGCAGCGAACAGGAAGCAGGTATGAGTGGACTGGCACCAGGCACACTGGCTAGAGTTGGCCAGGCAGTCCTCACAGGTCAGGCGCCTGGGGATTGGGGAAGCAGGGCCAAGTCACTCCAGCCCACACCCCCGTGCACACCCACCCACTCCCGGGCCCAGCTGGGCTCACTGGCTGCAGAGTGGGGGACATTCTTCGGGGTTCTTCAGAGCACCACGACCCCGGCCACGCCGGCTGCACGCTGCATCCCCTTTGCGGCTGGTGCTCTGATGCCACTCACAGAAGGGGTCCTGAGGTGGGGAGACAAGGAGTCGGCCCAACCTATCACCTGCTTAAGAACCAGCTGCCTCTCTCCCCCGCCCCTAGTCCACCTCCAACCACCTCCTCCCAGTGCCCACCTCCCTGGAGCCCTCCTTCAATCAGACATCTGTGTCCTGGCTACCCAGCTCTCACTCCTTCTTTGGACAGGAGCAGACATCTGTGTGCATTGGCCGTACAGTGGACTGCGGGGAGGGGGTCAAAATTCTTGGGATCCAGAGAGGGGCAAGAGGCCACACTCCTTCTAACCTTGCCTAAACCCAACCAGAAGCCCAATGTGGTGGCACATGCCAGTAATCCCAGCACTCAGAAGGCTGAGGCAGGAGGATCATGGGTTGGAGGCCAAGCACGGCTATAAGAGTCAATGAAACATGACTCTGGGGGTGGGTGAGACAGAAAGGGAGATTGTTCTTTCCTGGGACTGAGTGAGAAGAAACTGGGGCTTGTGGCTCCCCTGCTGGTCACTGGAACAAATGCTCCCCAGGAATACAAGGCAGAGCAGAGGAAGATGGATGCCATCAGCCGGGGATAGCAGGCCTGAGGACCTGCTCCGGGCTGCCTGTGGTCTTGCTGGTAAAGGGAGTTCAGTGGTATCGCTAGCCCTTCCTGCAGCCCATCCTGACTCCCAGCTGCCCAACTTCCCAGCCCCTCTTCCTCCACTCCCTATTTAGCTCTTGCAGACCAAGGACAGCAGACACAGCTGTCTGCCTTCACCAGGGCCCCTCTGTTGCCTGTGCCACCTACAGGGGTCTCTGTCCCAGTCCCTGCTCTGGCTGCCTCCTCTTGGGACACCCTCTTCCCACTGTGACCCAGCAGGCACCTGAGTGCAGGCGTGGCAGTCACGATGCTCCTCACAGAGTGGGCAGAGGGCAGGCACCAGCACCAACAGGGACTCGCCGGTCCCATCATCTTCACAGTGGGCCCTGCCTTGACGCAGGTGGCAGGTGGCACTGCCGAGGCACCAGCCACAGCCCTGGTCAGCCAGGCAGCCCAGACAGGAGGAGTAGGAGGTGCAGGCAGAGGAACGGTAGGGCTCCAGGAAGAAGAAGGAGATCTCCTGGGGGAAGCACAGAAGAGGACCAGGGGTCAGGCTTTGAGGTACAGTCAACATGGAGATGGTGATTGCAGCTAAGGGTTTAGGGACAGGATGTAAACTCTAATGGGGATTTAAGACAACAGCACACAAAAGGGGGCCAGGGTCTGAAGGACTCTAGAAACTAGGGGTCAAAGTACGGAGGGCAGGGGTCAGAGGCAGACCCAGAAGATAGGGACTGGGGCCAGAATATGGAGAGGGGATAGGTATAGCTCAGGAGCAGAGCACTAGCCTACAATCCACCACATGAGGGGCTGGGGATGTGGATCAGTGGTAAAGCACTTGCCTAGAATCTACTGGTGAGGGGCTGGGCAGTGATGGTGGGTTCAACGGTAAGAGCGTTTGCCTAGAATCCACCAATGAGGGGTTTGAGGGCATGGCTTAGCTGTAGAGTTCTTGCCTAGACTCTACCAGTGAGGGGCTGGGGTTGTAGCTTAGTGGTAGAGCGCTTGCTAGCAAGCAGAAGGCCCTGGGTTCCATTCCAGCATCTCCCAGAAAAGAATATGGAAATGAGATCAAGATCTGGGGAACAGAGGTTGACGTCTGGTAGGTTCAAGGTGAGGACCAGTGATGAGGCCAGGAATCAAGGTCAGAATCAAGTAATTTAAGAGTTTATGGCCTAGAACTTGGAAAACCAAGAGGATTTGAGGCCAGGGCCTAGGAGTAGAGTCAGAGGCTGGGCTGGGCACTCACACTGCCGCCTGGCACACCAGTCCGATCCCAAAGGAGAGTAAGCTCGCTGTGCCCAGGGCCTGCCGAGCCGTTGAGCTGACCCCGGATCTCCACTGCATACTTGTGGCCTCTCCCTGGCAGTGGGAAGAGGCGAGCAGAGCCAGGGCGCTGCAGCCGCCTTGTCTCCTTCTCCTGCTGGGCCACCCAGCGTCCAACCTCCTCCTGAGATGGAGTCAGCAAAAGGAAGGACCTTAAACCCCATGCTCCTATGCTCCTGCCCCAGACCCCCAAGCCTCTCAAGAACCCCAGTTCCTCCTGGGAAGAGAGCCTTAGGACTCCTTAGACTATAAGAACCTGCCACCCCTCCCCATGACCCACCTCCTTCTCAGGGGACCCTGAGTTGGTAACTCAGACCTTCCCCACCTTCCCAATAATTCTCCCAAATTCTGTTCACAGCTGAAAACCCCACAGTCCTCTTCTTCCTCTAAGGATATAGCCTATGCTTGAATGCTTACCATTGTCCCCCAGAGCCCTGGTATCACCACAGATGCCCCAAATCACACCCATACCCATATTTATCCAAATCACCCCAGAATGTCCTAGACTCCCTCACCATGTTCTCAGAATCAGGGCCTCGGGCCATCCGGGCCAGGACATGTAGGCGCTGGGCCCGAGCCCACACTGCAACGTCCTCAGACCCAGGTCCACCAGGCCCTCCCGGCAGCAGTGGGTGGATGAAGCCACGGTAGACCAGGGACACGTCTGTCTCTGGGCTGGGTGTCAAGGTGATGGTTGTACTTCGGACAATTGAGACCTGTACCGACCAGGGATGTGTGTGTGAGCACCTCTCTGGACTGCTCTTAAGTTCCGACACCCCGCCTCCCCAGGCCACATCAGAACTAGAGAAGACAGGACAGCACAATCTCCTTCACCAAATGAGAAACTGATATGGGGCAGTTTAGACAGCCTGCCCACCATTGCTCTGGGCAATGTCAAGACAAAATTCAGACCAATGTCTGGAAATGTCAAGACCAAATTCAGACAATACAAACAGGGTCCACCTTGACCCCTAACCCAAATTCATCTTTAGGTCACTTGAAAACTTGGAAGACTGAAGGGCTGGCAAGATGGTTCAGCAGGTAAAGGTATCTGCCATGTAAACTTGGAGATCTGAGTTCAATCCTTGGAACCCTTTTATAAAGGTAGAAGAAAGCCAACTCCACAAAGTTGTCCTCTGACTTACATGTATGCACCAGGCGTGCACGCGTGCACACACACACACACCCTAATAAAAAACTTTTTATAACTTGAAGACTGGACCCTTCAGTATCTTTGGCCCCAATTCCCTACGTTTCCACCCAAGCCCTTCCAAAGCCAGTCCCAACATTCCTAGTGACAAACACAGTACATGATTTATTTGATAGTATCTGATTCTGTATTAGCAGAAAAATAGAACTAAATTATTTACCACTGGAGACTATTTAAATAAACTATAGAACCTGGGCTTGAGGGCTTATACCTATAAATCCAGCACTCAGAAAGCTTAGGCAAAAGGATTGCAGCCAGTCTGGGCCACATGGCATTCAAGGCCAGCCTCCACTACACAGCCAGATCTTATCCCAAAATACGAATAAACAAACTACAGCCGTACAGCATTTGAATGTAAATAGACTGTTACATAGATGTTTAAAAAGAGAAGTGCAAGGTAGCAAGGTGAGAGATGCTTGCAATCCCAGGAGATGGAGGAAGGAGTCTAAGGGCCACCTAGACTATGAGAGAGGGAGAGGGAGACAGAGATAGAGGGAGGGGGAGGGGGAGGGGGGAGGGGAGAGGGAGAAGGAGAGGGAGAGGGAGAGGGAATTGTACAGTACAAAATGGCCTATAGCTGTTTTTGGCTTGGGGTTATTTTATTTACTTATTTATTAATTTATTTTATTTTTGTAGGAGATCTGGTCAGTTATGGTGAAGTTCCTAGGGATTAGAGTGAAAGACAGAAATTAGAACCAGGAGAGTAGTCACACCTCTAATCCCTGCACTAAGAGGAAAGGCTGGAGGATAACTGCAAGTTCAAGGCCAACCCAGGCAACTTGGTGAGACCTCTGAGATCTTGGTGAGATTAAAAATAAATTTTTTTAAGGGAACTAGAGAGATGGCTCAACGGTTACGAACACTGGCTGTTCTTGCAGAGGACTAGTTCCGTTCCCTGTACCCACATGGCAGCTAACAACCATCCATCACTCCAGTTCCAGGGGATCTGATGCCCACTTCTGACTTCTTCAGGCAACGAATGACACGGGTGCACGCACATACATGCAGGCAATACACTCATACACATAATATAAAAATAAAATATATATATAAAAAAATAGTAAATTATATTTTGAAAAAGAAGTGGCAGCCAGGAGTGGCAGCGCACACCTTTAATCCTAGCATTCCAGAGGCAGAGGCAGGGGATCTCTATGAGTTCAAGGTCAGTCCAGTCTACATAGCAAGTTCCAGGCCAGGTAGGGCTACACAGTTAAGACCCTGTCAAAAGAAGGAAGGAAAACTCAGTCGCTCTCAGAGTGGTTGGGCGAACACTGCTCTCGGCTTTTTCCTCCTGCCTGAAGATCTCCAGCAGAGAGCCACCACAATGCCCAAGAGAAAGGCTGCAGGTGATGGGAGTCGGGAGCCAAAGAGAAGATCAGCCAGACTGTCTGCTATGCCTGTGACCTTCAAGGAAAACGAAGACCCAAAATGTTGCAGTGGAAGTAAACGAAGATGCAAGTGCCAGAGCAATTCTTGAAACCAAGACGGAAGATGTTAAAGAAGAACGCATCACTGAAAACTCGGAAAATGGAGAGGCCAACATGATTGAGGCACCCATTCCTGAAAAAGGATCAGAGGAAGCAAAAGAGGAGAAAAATGAAGACACTGGAGAAGGAGGGGGAGAAAAGAAACAGTGGCAGCAGGAGGAGGAGATGATGAGAAGGACCAGAAAGACGAAAACATCCAACATACAGAAGAAAAAGGAGACGACGGGAACGGTGCTACAGATGAGATAGAGAAAGATGACGATGGAGATGAGGACGGAGGTAAGAGTGAGGGAAGGAGAAGACAGCACAAAGGGAGAAGAGCTGAAAGGGGAAAAGGTGCAGCAGGGAGGGAAGGAGAGGAGGAGGGGATGTGAAGACAGAGTGAAGAGGAAGGAGACAATGACCAAGAGGGAGAAGGTGGGAAGGAGGAGAATGACAAGGAGGTGGGAGGGAACCGGAGGGAGAAGAGAAGGAGGAGAAAGGGGGAGCGAAGAGGAGGTGTGAAAGACAGAGGAGGAGGAGGATGATGAGGAAGCTGAGCTTAGGAAGGAGGGAAAGAGCAGGGCAATGGCAGACAGGAGGAAGACGGGAAAGAGGATGAGGACAGGAAGGAAATGAAAAGATGAAACCACAGCTGAGCCTGGTTTAGCAGCTGAGGAAAGCTGTGGAGAGGAGTCTGTCAGCGTTGCCCACTACTGCCCTGTGTGAGAGCATAACCTGGTAATGTGTACCTTCCAGTTGTAGTGTCAATAGATAAATCTATTTATCACATATTTTATAAACAGCTTATCATCATTCAATCGCACAACATCTTCATAGCGGTTGTTAGTTGCAAAGTACCTAACATGCCACCTTTATACATTTTGTGATTATCGTTGTGCAAAATATAAAATGTACAGTTGCAACTTTGTGAATTTTAGTGTAAGTTATGTAATAAATCTTTGAATTTTTTTATTCTTATGTATGATAATTTTGCAAGGTAAGAAGAGTCCAAAAGAAAGAGTTTCACACAACTTTCTTGGGGATCTCTAGGTTGCTTTTATAAAGAAGGCCAACTATTTTTACATAATGTTAAAAGTTAGGATTGCCATTGCCAAATACAACTTTATTAGTAGCTTGGGAAGAATATAAAGCTGCAATTTCATTTTTCAAAGATATACAAATGTCTATTTCAGAAGAGCAGTTTTCTGTAACAAAGAAAATTAGTGAGATGTTACACATGCACTTGAGGAGGTAGACTACGGAAGGATACAAGAAACTAAAATCAATCTCCTAGGGAGTTATGGTGGTCTTAAGCTAGAGGATGCTGGAGCTAGGTAGTTTGGGGCCATTGCAGGGGTGGAGAATGGAGTAATGGGAAACTTTGTGTGTTTGTGTGTGTGTGATATGCATGTAGATGCATGTATGTAGGAATGTGTGCCCCTGTATGAGGCCAGACAAGGACATGGGTTGTGCCCCTCTACCCCACCCCACCTTATTTCCTGACTGTCTGAACTCAAGTTCTCATGCTTGTGCAGCAAGCACTATTAATGACCTTCTACTCACCTTCTGCTTGTATCACTCAGTGGTGTTTTCAAATTTTTATTATTATTGTATGTGTGTATGTATGATGTACATGTATATGTGTAGGTATGAGGGTGCTGTGGCGCGTGTGTGGAGGTCAAAGGACAACTTCATGGAGTTGGTTCTCTCCTTCTACCTTTAGGTGAGTTCCAGGCATTGAGCTCAGGCCTCCAGGCTTATGTGGCCAGCATGTTTACTCATTGAGCCATTTCACTGGCCCTTCTTGTGGTTTGTGAGCATTTTGAAATTCGAGAGGCACAGCAGCACACTGTGTTAAAATCAGTAGAAAGCCTGCTGTGGAAAAGTTTGATGGTTTCTCATTAAGCTAAAGACAGAATTACCATTCCACAATGAGGTCTATGTCTCCAAGAATTAAAAAAGTATTCAAACACAAATTCATATAGGAATGTTCACAGCAGACTTAAATAGCCATAAACAGTCCAAATGTCCAGTGGCTGATGAATGGATAAATGAATATTGTATATCAAAATGATTATCATTCTGTTATAAAAAAAAAAAAAGAATGAAGTTTCTCTGATTTTTGTTTTGCTTTGTTTCGTTTTGCAAACAAGTCTCACTACATAGCACAAGCTGACTTTGAACTCGAGATCCCGCTCTCCTGCTTTAGCCTACTGAGTGCTGGGATCACAGATGTGTGCCATGTCCAGCTTGAGTGAAGTTATAGCATGAATGAGCCCCCGAGACATTAGCTGGGTGAAGGAAACCAGATACAAAAGGCCACATATCACATGACTCCATCTATACCAAAGGTCCAGAGTGGAGGCCAAGAGGTTCGGGAAAGAGAGAACGGGAAGTAATTATTTAATAAGAGTTGATTTGGGGCAATAAAAAATGTTCTGTTGTAGACTATTTTGAGTGTGCTAAATGTGACAGTAAATTTTATGTGTATTTCATCACAATAAAAAAAATTCTTGGGCGTGGCTGGAGATGGCTCAGTGGTTCAGAGCACTCACTGCCCTTGCAGAGGACCTAGGTTTGGTTTCCAGCACCTACATGGCAGCTAACTATGGTCAAAAATTCCAATTCCAAGGAATCCAATGACCTCTCCTGGCCTCCTCTGGCACTGTAACCATGTGGTGCACTTACACACATACAGGCAAAACACTCTTACACATGAAATAAAAATAAAGTAAGTCTTGGAGCGGCTGGGGAGATGGATCAGTAGTTAAGAGCACATACTTGTTCTTGCAGAGGACCAGAGTTCAGCTCCCAGTACCCACATCTGGTGGCTCACTGCCAGTTAATTCCAGCTCTGGAGAATCCTCCTGTCTGAGCTTTTCAAATTCTGGGATTACAGTCATGCACCACCACACCCAGCTGTTTATGGTTTCTTTAAAGTACACACACACAATTTTGTTATTGAGACAGGGTCTTACTCTATAACCTAGGCTGGTGTGGAACTCATTAGGTTGCCTAGGTTGGCCTCTAACTTGCTGTGATCCTCCTGCTTCTGCCTTCCAGGTGCTGGGATTACAGGCAGCACACCACCATGCCTGGCTCCCACACATTTTTATCTTTATTTTTTTGAGACAGGGTCTCACTGTGTTTGAGACTGGGCTGGAATTCACTGCAATCCTTGGTTTCATGAGTGCTGGGATCTCAGGCATATACTACCACATCAGCATTTTCTTTTCTTCTTTTTGTTTATTTTTCAGTTCCATAAGACAAATTAGACCCTTGAATGTTAAGTCTCTCATTCGGGCTCTTGAGTGATAAGGATTCATTTTGACTAGGCTGTAGCTCAGAGGTAGAGTATATATTTAGCAAGCACAAAGCTCCAGGTTCCATTCCCAGGACCAAAGGAAAAAAAAGAAAAACCCAGCAGAAAAGAACCAACCCTAGGCCCAGAACTGTTCACCCCATCACCAGGTCCATCTGGTCCCCACCTTGTCAGGCTGAGAAATGTTGGGTGGCTGCTGGAAGGTGAGCAGGTGCAGGCCAGGCAGGAAGCTCTGGGTGACGCAGGCCTCCAGGGAAGTGACGAAGACAGGTGTTGGCCCCCACCAGCCAACAGTGCCTGAGATCTGCTCCCCTCGGCAGCGGGCCTGTTCTGAGAGGACAAGGGTGTGGGGGGGGAGTGCTGGAGGGTCAGTTTGGGGTGCACCTACCTACCTCCATCCCCACCACTGCTCAACACTCACCAGGCCGAGGGAGGCAGCTCTCGTTGTGCACACACCAGCCCAGGGCACCAGGCCCCCGGGGAGGAGCTGTGGGGCTGCTGAAGGCCAGGCATGACTGGCAGTCACCTAGGAGGCGGCCCAGGCCCAGGCAGCTAGCCGCTGGACACTGCAAGAAGGAGTGGAGTCAGGGTACACTGTCCTCTGGGGATGAAGGGATCTGATCAGGGCAGGGCTGCAGATACACAGTCCTGGGATGGAAGGCCAGGCAAGTAGGAGAACAAGAGACATGGAGCAGAGGTGGCATACAGAAGGTCAAAAACAAGGTCTGGGGATCCAGGGACAGGCTCCTAAGCATAAAGGGATGGGGTGGAGGGGGAGGTGAAGAGTCTGGGTTGGCGCCAGTCAGGAGGCAGGAATGAGGATCATGGGTGGCTGACCACTTAGAGGGAGATGAAGGCCTCTGTCTAGTGGACGGAGGGTCAGGGGTAGTCACTCACAGCTCCTGAGGGGGTCCCAGGAGGGGGTGCAGCTTGACAGGCCCCCTGACACCAGCTGCATTCGGGGTCTCGGGAGCAGACACTGTGGTCTGTGTACATGGAACAGTAGTCCAAGTGGTACTGCAGGGAGACAGGGCACAGAACAGGACACTGCTACTCAGACCCAGTATCTGCCAACTCTTGCTCCCTGTGAACCCCAGGGAATCCCAAGTGCTCAGCACCTTGAGAACCCCACCTATTCTACCCCCAGCCCCAAAGGACCCTCTACTCCAGGGGTGCCCCCACTTCTCCCCACTTTCACCTTCCTCTGTAGAGACCATGCTACCTCCTCCCATGGCCACCCTCTCCACCATACCAGTGCTCACATCCAGGGCAGGTGCCTGGAACACGAAGGGGGGCACCTTATAGGCCATCAAGTCCCCACGAGGCCGGCCACTATATCCCCCAGCCACCAGCAGGACACTGCCACCAAGCACAGCTGCCACGTGTGAGTACCGGCCACTGGGAGGCGCTGCTCGACCTAGGAAAATACAGTCAAGAACAGTAGAACACCCCCCCCCCCCG